AGGACTGATCAAATGACTTAAGTGTTTAGCATCTGCCTAACATGCATGAGGTACTGAGTTCAAACCCTAGTACTGACCCCTTCCCCCAAAATTACTGAAACACGAACTCCACCTTATTTGTCCTCTGCTCACTACTACTCTACTGTATTTGGCAGAGATCAGAGCACGAACTGGGATTCTCTCCCTCACTTATGATAAAGTTCTTTAATACATCCATGTGTCTTGCCTGGAATCTTTCACATTAGACAGGAAGAATCTGGTTGTATTTTGTTCAGGGAGTATGCAAATTTGCAAAATTAGGACTTTCCTCCTGGTCCAGTGTGTCCTCACCTAACTTGGCTTTGTCTAAGTCTGTATCATTGTGAAAATGAGTATGGAATTCTCTCAGCATATTATTGTCCCCATTTCCCAATGGAAGAAGCAGGGTCCACTCTGAAGAGCAGGTTCTATTCACCTACAATGAATACCAAGACTGCGTTGGGTAAGGACAAGGGAGGAGGTTTGGTATCATAGGGGCTGTGGCTGGAAACTTGTATTTGGTCCTAGAACTGTGGCAAGTAGGGGAGCACTTCTCCTGTAACTCAGATCTCAGGGTATGGAGCCCAGATCACTAACCAATTAGAAGTACTTGTGGAAGGAACAGTAAGAACTGATGAATCAGAGACTTTACAAGTTGGTTAACCCAGGAAATGCCTTCCTGACTGCCATTTTCTGAATCACCCAGTGCTGAGAGCAATTTTGCATGACTCAGTCATTGTGACCTATAGGTGGCACCAGGAAAGTGGCAGAACTCAAATCACCACAGAACCTTCACATGGTGAGTTTGTGACTGGTGTCCCCAGTCCTGAGAGGATGAGGTTACAACCATCCAGAAATGGTGACTACAGACCCCAGGCTTCCCCTCTGCACCTCTGGAGTCTGTGACCATTGGTGCAGCTTTGCACTCCTTCTCCACAGTGAAGGGAGGATGGCAGATGGGCAAACTCTGGCATTCTGTCCTCTAAGTGCAGGCGACTTGCCCCAGGCCCAGAGCCCTACCAGGGCACTTTGCACCTCAGTGCCACAACTTCCCAACAGACAGTAGGCAGAGGTTCTTTGTTCCTGCATGGGAGGAGATATGGTCCTTTGGAGTCCCCAATTCCTTTAATATCTGTGGGACAGAGCTGATTACCTGAATCTGCTAAAAGTTTGAAAACAGGCTGTTAAATTTAGGGTCCCCAACACCTTCTACCTTAGACATTTTCCTAAATGTCTTTTTATAATGAGTTCACAGCTTGAGATTTTTCACAAATTGATATTCTCCATGGAAGAACCACATTTCTCTGTCTCTCCATATTTCTTGTGATTTCTTACAATTTTAGGGGGAGAATGGACATATCAATCCTAGTGACACATGTGAGGTGTGGACTGAATTCTTGTTCCAAATTAAGCAATGTCTGACTCAACAGTGAGTAGATGCAAACCCACAGGTCTTCATTAAGGAAAAGAAGGGTAAAAACTGCAAGGGAGAGACTGGCCGTAGTCATCCAAGACATAGCAGGTGGGCCAGTTAAGGGTATTTATGCTACTTTTTGGGCAATTTGAGGGGTTAAAACTCCATGATTGTTTCTGACAAGTGGATGTTTGCCTGGGTCTTCTTGACAAGTGGATTTTGAAAAACAATGTATTAGGTGGGCATGCAACAAACATTTGGCACAAAGGACATTCTTTATAGAAACCTCTCTTCTACATTACGATATTTGCTTCTTAAAGATGTGTGTTGCCATGCCCGCCCTTTGGTATTGTTTCAAGGTGACTTCCTTCTGCATTCTGTATTGTCTCTATAAGATGTTTCTGTTTTGATGCACTGTTCTGGATATCCTTTGATCGGTGCTGTCCCCTGATGAGTACGTTGAGGGGCTGTGAGCACCCGATTGTGGAGGCTGCCGGGAGAGTGGCCTCATTAACAACAGCACAGCACACACTAGCCAGAGCACATGTGTGACTCTGTCTTCTGAATGCATGTGACACAGTGTCAGGACTGGTGATCCCATTCAAACCTCAACCCCAGCTGCCTCCATGAAACTGGAATTGGCTTGTGCAGAGAACCACATGAGGTCTGGAGAGTGAGTCCTTGAGTTTGGAAGACATGATGGCAGTGCTCCGCCACCAGGACAGTTCTGTCAGGACAAACCTCTACCCGGGTCACCCAGAGACTATAGGAGGAAGAGGGGTTTGGAAGAGAAAGGGAAGAAACTGGTGAGGTTAAGCTGAGGTCTCTGCAGTGCGTAGGTGAATTCTGGGTTCTGGCATTGAGACTGAGGTTTGAACTCAGGGCCTTGCATGTAGTAGACAGGTGTGACAGCTCAAGCCCCAGCCACATACAGCTGAACTCTCAGACGAGATCGGGCACGTTCAGGGTGGTATGGCCGTAGACACAGCTGAACTCTCAAAGTGATGCTGGTATGTGGTAGACATAAAAGGATGGGAGTCACCATGGAAATCAGAGTGCTTGCACGTGACCCACCACTCTTGTCCTGCTCCTTAGGGGCACTAGCTCTTAGCTCTTTACTCCTCACTGCTATGGCTTCTTTTTTCTCTCTCTTGTGGTGCCGGGAAGGAATGCAGGGTCTCATGCATGCATTGGTCACTGAGCCTCACCCCAGCCTTAAGTCATGAGTCTGGATGCCCAGACTATACAGCATCCAGCTGTGTGAACACAGCACTGAGAGGCTGACTGTGCAAAGGGGAGCGGGTGCCTCAGAAGCTGTGGCAGGAAGCAGCACATGCTCCTGGTGTGAGGATGACACAGTCTGAGTACAGCGCCAGAGTTGCTTAGCCACTTGCTGAGGGATGGCCTGGTGGCTGTGCCCACAGGGTGGCCTTGCTTTGGGACTCCAGCCCCGCTATGCAGCATGGAGCTACTCACCACTCCTTCCCAGGTTATGGGCAGAGGAGCAGGCCTGGGACCCCAGCTTCCAGCTCCCACATGTGGCCAGGCTCAGCGGGCTTCCTCTCAAGTGTTCTCTGCCCTTTCACTGCTGATGTGTGGGGACACACGGGGCCTGAGACTGACACCCTCCAGCTACCCTTGTGTTGGTTCTGCCAGGGATGGGGAAGTCATCAGAGGCCTGAGTGACCAGGTTCCCAGCTCTGGCCCATCCTAAGAGGAGGAGCCTGCAGGCTGTGTGGGACCTGAGGGGCAGAATGCCCTGTGCAGTCACCATCCCCTTCTGCCAGCCAGTGCTTGCAGGCATCACCATGGCTACTGCACTAGCCAGCAGAGGCCACAGTGTGAGCACTGCACATGGCTGCCCCATGCATGGCTGCCTGCCTGCTTCTGTGTCATTGCTTGGGGACCTCATCTAAAGCCCACAGTGCCACTGCATCATGTCAAGCAACCAGAGCCACCGAGTCAGCCGTGCTCACAGAGGTGTGGGTGGCCCAGCTCACTGAGGGTGAAGCTTGGGCTGGTCCATGCTGCCTTGGTGCGGGAGCAGTGCACCTTCAGTAGACACCACGCTGTGTGTGTGGCTTTGAGACAGGGCCTCCCTGTGCGGCCCAGGCTGCTCTTGAACTCCTGGGCTCAAGCCGTTCAACCACCTCAGCCTCCTGACTAGCTGATACTATAAGGGTGTGCTTCGTGTGTGGATGGGGCCTTGGGGGTCAAACCCCAGGCAACTTCTGATTTTGAACTTTGACCTTTTCCCTCACTAGCAATGTAGGACAGCTGCTTTGTCTTACTTTCAGTACAGAATCAATAGTTCACACGAGTACCTGGCAATGCCTTATAAATATAGTCGGCCTCGTGTGGTGATGGTGGCCGTGGAGGTGTGAGTGTAGTGAAGGTTACCAGGCTGTGCTGGGGTGTTCGGTGGTGTTGAGGGGGTGGTGAGAAGCGTTGTCACCTTGCAGGACTCATCAGACTGAGGAGCCTCTGTGTCTGTTCCTCGTTGTCACACGCTGATTGTGAGCTTGTGCAGGACTGCAAGGTAGGAGATCGTGAACAGACACATGCCAGGAGAGTTCTGTGCATGCCACACATGGAACAGACCAAAGTGAAACACGTGAGCACACGCCTCGATGCGGGGCCTCCCTCAGCTCAGAGACACAACACCAGAGGGTGGCCAAGCCACAGCTGCCTCTACAACTGCAACTAGAAGGGTGGCTCCCTGAAAAGTGCAGCAGCAAGCACTCACGCCGCTGCCTGTGGCTGTCACAAAATGCCCGAGAGAATCATTTCAAAGACAGGAAAGGTTTACTTTGGCTCAGGGGTTCAGAGATTTCAGTCCATGGTCACTTGACCCCATCCCTTTGGGTCTGTGGTGACATAGAACGTCCAGCAGTGGCAAGCATGTGACCAAGAAGGCTGCTCACCTCCTTGTAGCCAGGAAGAGGAGGAGGGGGCAGGTCACACTGTCCCCTTCTAGGGCTTCTCCCCAGTGACCTAAATTCCTCCCACAAGCCACACCTCCTGGGTTCCACCACCTCCCAAAAACGGCACAGGCAGGGCACCTTTGGGGGCCACTCAGGATCTGAACTCAAGTGGAGATGGTGTAGGCTGAAGACGTGTGTGGGCTCTAGAAAGATGCTGCGTGGTTCATGCCAGGGACTTGAGTGTCCTTGCATTTTGGGGTGCACTGGGGTCCTGGGTCCAAGCCCCATGCATGCAGAGGGTGGCAGTGCATAGCCCACAGGAGCCACAGCTCCACCAGTACACTTCTGTTAGCCTGTGTGAAGGAAGCAAGTGAGGACCAGAGTGGCTTGGGTGGCTGCTGTTGGTGGGGGACACCCCTGGTGGCCGCTGTTTCACCACTGTGTTGTGGACACCTGCCTACCCATCTGTCAGTCTGTGTGGCTCAGCCTTCTCTTGGCTGTGCCACTCTCCTCACTGTGACTCTGTCCTATGATTTCACCATGTTCTCACGTGGGTAAGAACTGTCACAACAGCTCCTGGTCACCCAAAGGCCTGCCAGGGAACTGATGGTGCTGTGCTGGTGCCGTTCAGCCTCCAGGGCTCCATGACCACTAAGCTGCTCACCCTCACAGCTGCCCACACTGGAGATGGGGGACTTGAGCCAGCAATCAGTCCAGCTCTGACAGTCCTGTGGTCACCCAGGCTGGGTGACCTGCTCTGGGTCCTTGGACAGCAGAGGGTGGCAGGGTGGCCGCCACTAAGGAAGGGAGTGTGAAAGATGTGCAGGTGGAGTCCTCACAGGTGTCCTTTTGTGCATCTTGTCACACAGGTTCCTGGCTGACGAGGACAGTCTGGAGTATAAGTACTACAAACTGAAGCTGGCAGAGGTGCAGCGCAGGGGCCTGAGTGTCCCCGGACCTGAGTAGCCACCTACCTCAGCCAAGTGCACCATGCGGGCCCTGCTGTATGCATGGGCTGTCCACAGCCTCAAGAAGAGGCTCCTCCCGGGACGACACCAGCTGCTCCGCACCCAGGGCCTGCGGAGCTGGAAGGCCAGGCGAGCCACCACTGGCACCCAGACACTGCTGTCCACAGCCACCAAGCTCAGGTCCCAGGGCCGGCAGGCTCTAGGCTCCTCGCAGGCCAAGCCGTCCTTGTCAGGCAGGAGTGATGTCAATAGGAATGACCCACCAGGACCCAGCCCAGAAACCTCAGGTCCCACCCCCAGTCCAGGAGCAGACATCCTGGAGGCCCTGCCAACCTCCTCTCCCTGCCTGTCCACTGATGGTGGGTGTTCACTCCCCCTCATCCCAGTCCCTCCACAGCCAGGGCAGTGAGCACTTGGTGTGGGCTGGGTGGCAGGGAGTACCTGGGGACTGGCCAGGTCGAGTGGATGGGGACACTCCCACGCTCCTTCCTAGAGCCACTGGCAACCCCCTCATCTCCTGAGAGCAGAGCTGGCACAGATGCACCAAGAGCCTCGGTGCTCCTGATGTGGGCAGCAGCCTGTGATTCTGTTCTTACACTGTTGTCCCCCACAATCTGGGGGACAAGTTCCAGACCCCTGCAGGTGCCAAAATCCACCACACTCCTATCTCCATAAAATGCACAGGGTTTGCCTGTCGTCTCACACCTGCTCCTCCTCCCACACACCTGTCAGTCTCGGTGACTTGTGACACCTCATACAACATACAGTCTGTGCACTCAGTTGTTATACGTTTTGTATAGGGTGGAGGAAGGTCTGTATGTGTCTAGTACAGACACCATTTCTTCTGAAGTATTTCTGTTGGGTTTTGTTTTGGTTTTTATTTGTTTGGTAGGACTGAGGTTTGATCTCAGGGTTTCGTGCTTGCAAGGCAGATGCTCTACTGCTTGAGCCATTCCTTCAGCCCTTGGTCAGTGCTAGGGATTGAACTCGTGACCTCACACATGCTAGACAGGCCCCTACCCCTGAGCTTCACCCCAGCTCTCTCCCAGGATTGAATCCATGGCTTGACATTCCCTCTTGTCCCCTCCTCTCCCAGGTCCCTCTAGTTGTGCACTGTGGGCTCCTGCCTTGCATAGCTTCCATGCTGACTGGTGTTAGTGACCCCTTCTTGGCTGCCTTCTCTCTTTGGTGCACCTGCCCTTTGCCAGCTCCCCTCTCCTCTGTGGTGACGCCTCCTGCCCACACCATGTCCTCACGCAGCCCGAGCCCCTCAAATTGTGCTTCGGCTGAGCCCTGGGTGCCATTCATCCTGAGGCTCCTCACAGCAGGACGTCTAGGACAGTGTGGTGACCATATGCCTGTCACCCATAGCCAACCCAGGGGTGCGTGCATGAGGGAAGGGCAGGAGCTGCCTGGGGCCTCCAAGACACAGGCTGAGAAGCAACCCTGGCACATTGCCTGTAAGTTGGTGAGGTGCAGAGAGGGATGTGGGTGTCATTATAGTCAGTGTCCACAGCTGTGACAGTTGCAGTCTCTTTTGTAGTTGACATGAAGACCATGGAGACTGCAGAGAAGCTGGCCAGGTTTGTCACTCAGGTGGGGCCCGAGATTGAGCAGTTCATCATAGAGAACAGCACGGATAACCCCAATCTCTGGTATGTACCCTTGTCTCTTACAGCACCCCCACAGGCACTACCTGTGGGTGCAGCTGCCCTGCAGACACTCCTGTCTTGGTGTGACCAGGTAAGTCATGGCCGTCACAGCTGGGCCATTGTAGGGTCATCAGGAAAACCTTGCATGCAGGGACACTGTGTCTGCATCGAAGGGGGTGGGCAGGTGAAACCAACTTAGTCAGCAGGCCCCTCTGATGGTGATGTGCATCCTTGGGTCCTTACTGGGAGGGGTGCCACGCCCTGCCGTCCTCACATGGAGGTCAGCTCAGACCCACCCAGCTGGAGGCCACGGAACAGGGCTTGTGTACTGGGAGCATTTGTGCACTCTCAACAAATTAGTGAAAAGGCATTTGACCATCACGAACACTGCCTAGGAAGGGGTTTATTCTGGAGGAAATGACTGGAGTTCTTACGAGGGTGGGTGACGAGGTACTCCTAGAGAGGAGCTGCCTGGGTCTTGGGTTCCTGGCAGAGTCCAGACCCTGCAGGAGAGCTGTGGCCCAGTCTAACTAAAAGAGGAGCAGTGGCATTGGGGAGTGGCCCAGCAGTGAGTACTCCCCCTGCGTGCCTGAGGCTCTGGCCTCCACCACCAGCACTACTAAAATGAACACATGCAGATGAAAACTTACACTTCTTGGGGCATTTCTGGGGTCCAGTGGGGCGGTGCCTGCTCTTTGGTGTCTGCATGAGCTCTGTGCTGCCCTTCCCTGCAGCCTCAGCCCTGCCTGTGTCTGCCTGGGGACCTCCTGCTCCCTCCCTCCTAGGCCCAGCCTGCCACATGTGACCCCACATGCCCATGGTCCAGAGGCCTGGCCAGGCACAGCCTGGTTCTGCTTTTGACAGGCGCTGGTGGCCTTCAGGGGCAGCTGGGCCCTGCACACTTCTGAGCTGGGCCTGCCTGTCACTTGTGGAGCCTCCCCTGTCAGAGCTAGCCAGGGGACATTTTCTTGGTCTTTTTTTGTTTGTTTTCTCAGTACTATGGTTTGAACTCAGGACTTACACCTTGAGCCACTCCACCGGCCTTTTTTGTGATGGGCATTTTTCACAATAGGGTGTAGGCAACTATTTGCCCTGGGGCTGGCTTCAAACCATGATCCTCCTGATCTCTGCCTCCTGAGTGGCTAGGATTACAGGCGTGAGCCACCAGCATGCAGCGTTTCCTTGGTCTTCTCTTGGGTTTTATTTATTTATTCCCACATGAGAAGTACAATTTAGAAGAAAACCTTGCATCATCCCAGGCTGCCTCTGTTAGCAGTGTGCCTGGACTACTGTCCTCCTCCCCCAGGGTTAGGGAAAGCCAAGACCTGGGGTCTTGCTGTGGGTGGTGCCAGACCCAACCAGCACTGCAGTGAATAGGCCAAGGGCACACAGTGCTTCTGTGTGCTTCAGTGTTGCGGGAATCTCAAACTGAGTTACAGGACTCTGAGGCAATTAGCAGGAAGCAATGTTTATTGTGCAGCACAGGCCCAGTGGTCTCATGTCCAGAGGCTGAGCTCTGAGAACAAGGGGGTCTCACCTTATATACCCTTGCAAGCAGGTTACAGAAGCAAAAAGCAAGGTCTAATCAGTACATGGTGATATTTAATTTTATTGGCTACTTTATCCTTGTACTACTTAACCTTCCTCATGTTCAGATTTCTCAGGTTTTGTCTGTCTGCTATGCCATCCCCACCTCCCTGCTACTTTCTCAGGACTCAGACCTAGTCTGTTTTCTTCTGCTCCTCCTCCCTGCTACATTGTTCCCCCCTTTGATGTTTGGTCCACCTAGGGTCAGAGAGCATCATCTTGATCTAGGGGTTTGTATTTCCACAGAATCATTACCTGTGTGGCCATTTCCTTTCTATCACGGCCTCCAGAACCATCCTTATAGACCATAGCACCAGAGGAACCAGGCAGGGCAGAATAGGCACGCTCCTAGGATCAGGCCCATTGCCCCTATCAGGGTTTTGAATCCACCTAAGGCAGAAAAGCCAACATTCAAACAGGTCATTGGGATCCCAGCCTCTCCAAGTCTGGACAGGGACCTGAGTGAGCTTTCTCATTCTGTCTGTGATCTCTTCTATGGCCTTTCCTTCATCATCAATCTGTAAGCAGCTGTTGCTCAGGTTAAATTTCCCACAAACTCCTCCCTCAGAGGCCAGCAAATAGTCTAAAGCCAAGCGGTTCTGATGGATGGCATTGCACATCTTAGTGCTTTGTTTTCCAGCAAATTGAGGGCTCTTGTAGTTTCATTAGTTATACTTTTAACAAGAGCCAGCATCCTGATGATGCAGTTGAGCGTACATACAGGGGTGTGATAACCCCAGGACCTGTCTTCTGCCCAGGTGGCTCCATTCATTATCTTTCCAATTGCTGATGTGTAAGGCACCCCATTTTTTGTCTACTTAATCTTTCTTCATATATGGGGACTCCCAGTTTTACACCTTGTCTGAGAAGGAGCAAGAAGAAGGATGGTCTGAGCCTAGCACACAAGATCCAAACCAGCTGCTAGGTAGCACTGTATAAGCTCATTTGCCACAGATCCAATATAGCCCACTGGGTGCCTGCCAATCTATGATTGCAGTAAGATCATCCCATGCTCTCTGGAGATTAGAAAAGTTGGCCAGTGGGTGCGGCTGGGTTCTGTATGGTTTGGAACTCCCCACCATTGGGTCTCTTGGGCAGTATCATTGTAAAACTTCTGTCCTAAACAAGTTAAATCCCCCACTGAAGTGGAGAACTGGCCTCCCAGATGGGAGATACAATAATTTCTGATGATGGAAGTTTTAAGGAGCTGGATGCCTTTCCTATGTTTTCAGAAAGCAGTCTCATTAAAAGACTCTCATGGGTCCAGCTCCCTTGCCTCCCAAGGCCGGTGGTCTCCCATGTTGGTCCCCCCACAAACATAGCAGGAAGTGGCATTCAGAGTCTGGGCTAAAGTTATGGAAACAGCCAAGATGCCCCACTACTGACAAAGGATTAAGAAAAGTGGTATTTATACAAAATGGAATTTTATGCAGCCATGAAGAAGAACGAAATGTTATCATTTGCAAGTAAATGGATGAAATTGGAGAACAGCATTCTGAGTGAGGTCAGCCTTGCCCAAAAGACCAAAAATCATATGTTCTCCCTCATATGTGGACATTAGATCAAGGGCAAATGCAACAAGGGGATTGGACTTTGATCACATGATAAAGCGAGAGCACACAAGGGAGGTGTGAGGATATGTAAGACACCCAAAAATCTAGATAGCATTAGTTGCCCTCAATGCAGAGAAACTAAAGCAGATACTTTAAAGCAACTGAGGCCAATAGGTGAAGGGGACCAGGAACTAGAGAAAAGGTTAGTTCAAGAAGAATTAACCTAAAAGGTAACACACATGCACAGGAAATTAATGTGAGTCAACTCCCTGTATAGCTATCCTTATCTCAACCAGCAAAAACCCTTGTTCCTTCCTATTATTGCTTATACTCTCTCTTCAACAAAACTCAAAACTAGAGATAAGGGCAGAATAATTTCTACCGGGTAGTGAGAAGTAAGGGAGGGGGCAGGGGAAGGGGGGAGAAATGAACCAATCATTGTATACACATATGAATAAAATAAAAATTTTTAAAAAAGAGTTTGGGCTATAGGCTCAGCCAGTGAGAGGAACAAGATAGTAGCTTTGGCAGAAATGGAAAACTCACTCATCTCCTCATAAAATGGATGAAGAACTTGGTATGAGGAACTCTCATGGGTAACGGTTACTAATGAACTAAGGTTCATCAGACTCCCAGGGTCAGGGCCCTTTCATCTATCCTTATACTAATTATTTGTCCCTGTGTCCAATCGGACGGCTTAAGTTCAGTGAAATTTACAGGGTCACAGGTGCCACGGGTGCAGTCAGGGGCAGCTTTCCCCTTGTGAAGGAGGCTGTATATTTATCCCTTTGCCATGTGGCCCATGAAACACAACCCCAGTAAGGGCAATAATAAGAACCCACATCATCACACGGCCAAGAGTTGTCTCCCCAGCACATACACTTATCATTTGATGTATAGGCTCTTTTTCAAGATAGGTCCCCACAGCTATAGTGTATACCTCCACATCCAGCTTTGTCTATGGCTGCACATGCATCAAAGAGCACTGATACTGGTTTATCAGGACTAAACACCTGGGTGTGGCTGACAATGTTCCCAGGGTGGCAGACACTCCTGATCTCTAACCACTGCTCCTGAGGGTGGTAAGTGGGGTTGAAGCAGATATGCTGATTACCATGGGAGCACACTAGATAAGTGGTGTGATTTGAGTGCATGACCTGATGACAGAGCCTGCACAGGAATAGTAAGTATGGAAAAGTAAAGTCTTAGTTTCAACACTTCCTTCCTGAGTAGTGTGCAGACATAGGTCACAGGAAGAGGGTTCTGGGGCTGCAAAGGGAAACCAGATCAGTAACAATAAAAAGTAATTATGCATCCTGCCCAAAAGAGATAGAAGCAAGCCAATAAAAACCTTTTGCCATGAGTCCAATTAGTGGGAGCATTTTCTGCCAAGTCTGTGATAAAGACTAGGGTGAGAACTACAGCAGCAGATACAGACAAGGGGTGACAGTGCATTACAGTGAGAGAACTGGGGTGAAAAACAGCCTGTTTGTCCCGTTGGAGAGTTGACTTCTCAAGCTTCTGCCATGCATAGACTAGTCAGCTTCTGGGTGTGACTAGAGCAGGGCTGCTGTCCCACCATCTGTGGTCCTCTATTGTCCCCTGGGGAGTGGAGTTCTCCCAAAGAAGGGCACTGACATTCTGGAAGTTGATCCTAAACGGTGAAGCTGGGTCAGGTATGCATTCCCACTCAAGAGAAGCTGGTTTGACTGGACTGTGGTGGATCCAAGGAGCAATCACTGCTACTTTAACTGTGATAGGAGGAGGCAAGATAACAACAAAAGGGCTCCTCCAAAGGGGTTTTACATTTTTTTATTTTTTTTGGTAGTACTGGAGTTTGAACTTGGGACCTCATATTTGCTA